GACAGCGAAAGCACGCCTTCCTTGAGCACATAGCAGACACATGCAATATGGTTATGAAATGAACTAAGGGCATTCACACACCCTCCATTGACTCAAATCTCGGGGGGTTCACGCATCTGGCGCTTGGAATGAGTCATGGCGTGCCTGATATATTCGCCCTATCCTTTCATAGCTGATGCCTGGGATGACTGAAATCACACCAGCACCCGGCGGCAAGAGACGGAGTACCTGAGCCTGCCGGTAAAACATCATTTCCCTCTTGAAGTCGTCCTCTGCCAACGCGCCATCCGTATCTTGAGATGCGATTTGCTGTTGCTGAAAACGATGGAAATCACTTGTCAACGCAACCCTAGAGCGTCAGGTTATTATTATTATTATTATTATTATTATTATTATTTTGATTATTCGCCTGATTGCAGGAACGCTACAACAGCATGCCTACGGTAGTTTGTAGACGGAGAGGTAATCGGTGGAATGTACAACAAACTCTCAGCCCATCTACAAATGTGTGTTGGAACCTGTAAAATAAGTACAATCCGCAAAGTCTGCTTAATTTTGGACGGAATGGCAGACTTAAAGAGAGGGTTCCACATTTTTATGGGGTTTTAAACTGACACAGCCATCTTAAAGATCATTCGATACAGTTCACAGCCCTGCCCTTCTTAAAGCCCTTCTAGTTTCTACTTTCTAGTTTCTTCTTACACCCTTCTAGTTTCTATGCTACACGCTCGCGAAGACTACTCCGGGGAGACTATTTCAAGGTCACCCAGGCATACATCACATCGCAATAACATTATTCAAATCCTACCGTTACAACGGCCATGTGGCAATTAGTGCCAATAAAAATATAATTGTCAAATAGTTAATATCTGGCGTTTGTGAGCCTGATTTCCAAATATAATGTCCATAAACTAATTCTAAATCAATGTGGTGCAATAAACGATGACGTAATCAAACAACGACGCATTGTGGAACACATTTACTTCACAGGGAAATTGTGCAATCCAGAGTGGCCTTCTCGCCTTAAAAGCGCACCAATAGGTTTAATTGAGCTTCTTTCATCATATCTGACGCTTGCTTCAATATCTTAACTGGGAACATCCACTTAAACACCTGTACCTAATTCTTTACTGGCAACGCGCAGCGCTCCGGCCGCGGCCACCGCATGCTCACGCCCGTGGCGGCGACTGAGTGCGCCGCATACGTACGTCACGCTTCAGCTCGGGCGCCAGCGGGGCCGGCGCGTTCACGCTGTCCAGCCGCTCCAGCCAGGGCAGCTGCAGTCGGAACTGCTCCAGCTTGGCCAGCATCGCTTTCTGGAGCACGGATTACATACGTGACCACGAGGCGCCCAGACACTGCGTGGTGTGCCTGATGGATTATGACTTTGACTTCTGTTCCGCAGACAGGAAGCATGCACAGGAAATAAAGGAATGTGGTGATACACGCAAAATCGAACTGACATTCTTTTGGAATATGCACGTACGATTGGGTCAAAACGTGGACATTTGGTAGCAAACAAACACAATTATTCATGATGAACTTAGGTTTGATAACAAATATGAAATAAAGCATACTTGTCATACCTCATTATTAGCAAACGTTTTGACAGGTCTTTCCTTCACAATGTTCAGACCAGGCTGCAGCTTTCCAGCTCTGAAGGCTTCCTGAAGCTGTGAACAATGTCAATATATCAAAATAGGTGCCAATATGAGCATGCATGCTGCCAAAAACCACATGTATGAGACACAGCTGTGTTGAATGTACTATCACAACTGAGCATCACAATTTTACCATGTGAAGGAGTGATATCACTGAATATACACCTTGACAAAAATAGCAGTGATTTGTTGATAAAGTGAGCACTTCATTTACAACTAAGAACTCCCATTAAGACCAGAGATAACTCAAGTTTCCCCACCAGAATAAGTTTCACACAGGTACTAACCTCTTCATCAGAATCGATTTCGGATTCAGACTGGTACCCATCCATTTCCATTCTGAGAAGAGCTTGACCTCAGCAGCTGCATGTGGACCAAATAATTAATGACTGCAAACACTGTAATGTTATGCAAAACACTGCAGTTAAGGGACTGTTCAGGTAGCCCTGCAAACCTGAGTTCATATGGTTGTACTTGCAAACTTGCACACATGTCAGGAATTTTCACTTTAACACACACATAACTGGACTGAGACGAACTATCCATCTTAAGCCTCAGATGGTCAAAGCAAATGCTTTCCTTCTCACATGGCTTTAGTGGGGTTGGTTCGGCGCAGTCTGCATGAAATGCATGGTGCACCTAACATGCCCTAACATGTGCTAACACGCCTAACTGTTAATTTCAGTGCATAGAGCCAACATTTCAAGGAATCATGATGCAGAGGAGGAAATTTTACATGAAATTACCCCAAAAATGTTCACGCAGAAACATTTTAAAAAATTCAGCACAATGTGTCCTGGCCTGAGTTCGGCGCACGCGATCGCGCGGTTCAGCACACCGATGTCGCGTAGGCCTCCAACGCAGCAGCTGTATTCTTTGCAGGCTGGGGTTTAAGCCCCTTACGGCACTCGCTATTTACCCAAACTAGGATGGCCTGTAACCAGTGGTGGCAGCTGTGCTAAATGTTGGGTGGTATCAGAGAGCAGGATTGACAGTGCAGAGCACTGCAAAATGATAACCTTCAGCTGTTAAGTGCTGCAGTTGACCTATAATTACCCATTCAGATGATGGATTTCATGACTTATACTAACAAGACTGCTTATCAGGCTGATCTCAGAAATCTATTCCACCAAAAGACCCAGGTTAAATCTTAGGAAGAGTTCTGCTTCCAATAGTGAGGCTGTATGCTGACAATGTCCAAAGAGTTGCTGTCATCTGAGTCAACTAAGACACCAGTACATCATTGCAAAGCCAATGCCAGACACTGCTGCGGCCTGGCAACCGGTCCAAAACTCAGCATACTTCATTTCATGAATCAAACCACCACAGACTTTGCACACACTCACAGAATCCAGACAAGGCGCATGTAAGTAAGGGCATCCAAACAATTTCATTTTTTATGGTCTAGTCCAAACCTTTTGAACACATGGACTTGTGCAATCAGAGATCATGTTAAGCAGTGTTTGCTGTGAGCCATGACCCCTACCATCTGATCATGCAATCCCAGGTCAACAGCAACAATGCTGGACGCCATCCACCCTGCCTTCTGATGTCACCTTATCTTTAGCATGGCCACTACCACCACTACAAGTCATCCCAGTCAAGAGTAAAAAGTGAGCCCCTCAACCAACTTCACCAGCCCACCTCAAACTGAGAGGGTGCATCAGAATGTAACTGCTCTAACCAGTTGGACTAGCACATCAAAAGGTAAAAAAATTATCTTAAAGGAAATATTTAGCATTTGGAGATACTGAAGTAAGCATCAGATATGATAAAACAAGCTCACTCACAACTATTGGTATACTCTATCGGTGGAAAAGACTGCTCTAAACAGCACAATTCTCTGTTTAGTAAATATGCTCCCCAATGTGTCATGGCTTGATTATGTCATTGTACATATTACAGCAATGGTTGGGGGCTAATTGATGGTTGTTATATCTAGAATTTGTGCTTGCAAATGCCAGACATGAGTATCTCCACAATATTTTTCTTGACCATGATTGCTGTGTGGCTTATGGAATGGCAGCATTTGAATGGCACTGCTATGATGTCATGAATGCTAAGGTACCTACAAAACACTCTGCCCAAAATACTTTTCCCATTTTCATGGATGTGTAGCTCAGTGACTAGAGGCACATACATCCTAAAGTCAAGATTGTGAATCACACCAAAAGGTTTTCAAGACATCTATTTCAGTTCTAAACCCCATACAAATGTGGAAAAAACCTTTAACAATGGAAAAAATTCCAATCTGACCTACCAAGTGGTAGCTATCAAACATCATATACCCTAACCATCCTGGAATACAGATGTGTTGAATCAGGTGCACCCAGCAGACCACAGCTAACATATAACATACAATTGACTGATAACAGACAAGTGCAAGGAGTGCACTGACTTTCCTACAGCCTGTCTGAATAAAGCAGGTTATATCAGGCACCTACTTTAAGGCACACAACAGTAATAATCAGACAGCAGAAGGGCCACACAAATCAATTCCCAAATAAAATCATTGCAATCCAACATAGCCAATCATGCCTGGCATCCCCATGGTACATTGCTGATAAGTCAGGGTCACAGGCAATGAATTAAACTAATCAATGATTAGCTGGTGCCCAAAAGGCAATGCAGGTTAAAAAAAATGTGTTCCATTAGCAGGACAGTGATGGGTTACAATGGATCGGGTGAATGATGATGAATATACACACCACAATGCACCAGTCAGTTCTGTAAGGATATAATCAGCAGTGGGAAAAAAACGCAGACACCAGATGGGTTAAATATAAGGTGCAGGTTGGGTTGGCGTTGCAGGGTGAACAATTGGGTAAGGAGTAATGCTAGGGATATGGTTAGGGGAAAGATAACTGGAAACAACAGTCAGGTTCAGCCCTACATGCATGGGTAAGGGTGAGCATATGGTTTGAGGTAAGGATAGGTGTATAGTGTTAGGAGAAAGAGCAGGACTGGGAGTAGGAGCAGGATTAGGAGGAAGAGAGCGGGACAGGGAGCGTGATGAGGGGAGGTGACACCCATCTCCACAAATACTTTTCGTCAAAACCTGGCAGGAAAAAAGAGTGTAATTTAAAAGTAAACTACATGTTGTGCAGTCGCATCAATGCACGGAACACACCGCCTTAATCCCACAAACGCTCACCAACCGCGCACAACTCGCGACCCTTACGCCTCGCGCCTTGTGGTATATATCGCCCCGCTTGTGTCCAGGCGCTTCTCACGTGTGCCGGTTAGATGGCGCAGTTCAGCGCTGGAAACGACGCAAACTTTACCTCTGTTCGATTCTCTTATCAGCATCTTTCTGGCTAGGTGATATTGGACAACCATAGCAAATCAGGGCTGTAGGTTTAGAAAAATAACACAGTATTAGCGAAATATAAATGATATGAACACCTTATTTTGTCTGTATTACGCCGAAGATGTCTTGCCTAGGTTAGGGAGGGGAGAACATTGTCTCGGCTTTCTGTTGAAGAATCGTAGATTGGTGAGGTGGTGCGGCCGAATGCCATAGGACAGGACAGGTGCGGCCCCAAACATCGAGAAAAACACACCAGCGTGATGAAGAGGGCATGCGGCTTTGTTGTTTTTCGATGGATGAATGGTCAGCTGGAGTATTTACTTCTGCAAGCTTCTAATGGAGTCCACCACTGGACACCGCCAAAAGGTAGATGAATTAAGTGCGCTGCTTAGCTGGCATAAGATGCTACAATGGTAAGCAAAATTGATCAACAGTTTTCTTGTTTGTTCAGCTTGTTCAGCTTGTTCTAGACAGCTTGTTCAACAGAACAAGCATTCCTAACAGTTGAGTGCTGGAATGTGTTCAAGGCTGTTATTCATTCATTTCATAGCTGTTCTGGATGTGTGTTTTGTAGCACATATGTTTTATATCATTATATTTTGCTATCAGTGTTATGCTAGTGTTATATTATTGTTCAGTTGATTCAAAACTCAGGTTATACACTTGTCTGTACCATTCAAATTACACATTTAAGATATACTTATTTCTCAGGGGGGCAATGACTTGTTCCACAGGTCATGTAGATCCAGGGGAAGAAGACTTAACAACTGCATTCAGAGAAACAGAGGAAGAGGCAGGGCTGAAGTCAACCCAGCTGAAAGTTCTGAATGGTTTTCAGAGTAAGATAAGTGTAAGTCCTTAACTACTTAGTTACTAACACAGCATAGCCATTGATTTTTTGAAGTATAATTGATGAGTTATCATGGGAGAACATGGTTGAAAATGGCCCAAAATTATATTTTTATGTTGTGGATGGCCCCCAAAATGGTTGACAAAATTTGTTACCAGTAAATTATTTCAATGAACAGCACTTCCATTTTTGTGTTGATTTGTCAAGTCTGTGTTGTGTGTGTGCCATATAATAGTGTGGAATAGAATTGAATATAATTGAATACAATTTAATACTCTGAAAGAAAAAGGTACAAGCAGACCTGAAGTATCCCAAGAGCTGCTGCTCCTGGAGGCACCCTGCTGATAGTTCTTCCAGTGTTCCCAACAAGCATTTGCTGGAGCTCTCCTTGTGGCTACCTGGCCTTAGTCTGGTCCATTCTGTATGTCCAGTGCTTGTTCAAACATTTTGTTTGATGCATCTGGGCCGAAAGATGTAACAACCTCAGCTGGTGGGCTATTAATACAGCTTTGGTGTATTCCATGTGTTTACCATGCATACTTGGTATGTTTTGTGGGATTAAGACTTGGCAGTGGGCTTTGTAAGCTTGAGTGGGTGCTCTCATATATCTGATTAAGAGCAGGATTTTGTGGCTTCTTCTTTTGCTGTGAAAAGAAAAGCAGTAAAGATAAAGCTTCACATGGTGCTGAGCTGTCTCCTATGCCACCCTGGGGGGATGGGGCCCAACCATCATGTCTTAGAGAGCCTGTCATGGCAGGTCAAATGCTGAGGGGATAGGACAATAAGAGAGCCTGAGGAAAGTCTAGAGGTGCCCATTCAAAGCAAACCATTGATGAACATGCTTTATTGTGGCAGGTTGTGGGGTCCCTCAGGAAGCTGGCCACAGTAAACAGGGGGAGAGGTTGAGAACACAAGAACAGTCTTGTAAGGTAGTGTTGTTTTTGTGAGTTGAAAATGTTATGTTATTAAAGTTTTGTATTTCAAATATAAGATATAAATAACATAACATTTTCAAGTGAAAATTTGACCTTCCCTATTTGATGGATTAAACAGCCCATATGCAAACATCTGGCAATTTATTTAGCAACATTTTAAAGGATTCACACTACAGCAACATTCTGTAGTTCCCAAGCATGGCTTCCTGTCAGAAGAAGCATTTAAAAAGACCCACTTTTTGATGGCTTCCTGTGGATCCCAACAACTTGACAATAATAATATTGTGTCGAGGCTGTCTCACCATTTTGGGTTTTTCTATCACCCTAATCCCCAAATCTGGGTAAATGTAATTTTCAAGAATCAGGGATGGTAAGGAACCCATTTAGTGAGGGGGGGGTGTAGCTTTGGCAAGGAAGCCCCTGGGAGGCAGAGTGCCCACCCCCTCCAAGCGAAGCTCCTGCCGTGTGGTGTGGGAAGACAGTTGTGCAACCAGCCTGTTATCAAAGACCAAAGTGTTTGCTGTGCCGTTCTGCCCCACACATGCCCACGAGCCTGCCGAGTGCGGCGGCCGGCGCGGCGCGGCGCGGCGGTCTCGGTCGCGGCCGCTGACGCGCCTGCCGTGCCTGCCGTGCCGCAGTACACGGCGTGGGGTCGCCCGAAGGAGTCGGTGTACTACCTGGCCGAGCTGCGCGACGCCGGCGCACCGGTGCTGATCTCGGAGGAGCACTCCGACTGGTGCTGGGCGCCCGTGGAGCGGGCCTGCCACCTCGTCAGCTATGCCGAGATGCAGGGCGTGCTGAGGGAGGCCGAGCGCTTTGTGACCGGCGCCGCGCCCGACGCTCGGGGCTGAGCTGGAGGCGGGAGGGGGCGGCCCCCAGGCGGCCCCCCGCCGGGCTGCCCGGACCGAGCAGTGGCGAGCCGGGCCCGCGCCGACAGTCGGGTAGGCTCGGCCGGCTGTCACGAGACTGCCCGCCATACCGGCGGATAGGAAGCGGCCTGCCGCTTGGAGGCCCCGTGGTCTTATTGCGTCATGGAAGGTCAACATCGAAGGAATGGGGATCGGAAGTTCTGCAATTTCAGTGTTAACGAAATGCAATGTACAGCCTATCCAACCGGTTTGCAAACGCCACTGGATAATGCACCATGTTCTAATGTATCATTCATTTTGGATGAACATTAATAGCATGTTACCTGTATGCTGACATGTTAAATCATGAACCGTAAGTCGCGGTGAAGCAGGTGATATGATGGTGTGTTAAAACTGTCAGGGCAGTCGCGCTGTGTCATCCAGAGGGTTGAATGAAAGACATAGATTTCGCCGACTTGTCCTTTTTAAGTGTTGCTGCTCATCTCTCTTCGTGCAAGGTGTGCGGGGAGTAATTATGCACGATTAGTACATAGGATCATGGCTAGGTCAATGAAGCAGTTTTGTCTCAGAAGCATTGGATATCATGTTAGACAGGAGTTCCGACCTGTCTCCATAAACGCGCGTCAGTACTTGAGCAGCCTAAGGCTGGTTGAATTGTTGCAGATACTCGGTAATCACCTGTGATTATAAATATATATATATATTTATTACAACGATCCTAAGTAGCGTCGGCGAGGGTCTTGCACGGAATCATAACAAAGGACACCACACAGCGGCGCATCGGCCGCTACCGATCCTCACCGCACGGCGCGTCGCATGGGGACGGATTGTCGCCCTCGCATTCCCTGCCCGACACTCAGCACGCAGACGTGTGACGAGTGCGAGGCTGCTCATTCCGTCCGCCTTCGCCCGCTGCCGGGGCTCGCGCTCGCCGTCGGTGGCGGCCGGGCGGGGGCTGCGAGACGCAGGTGCCTCGCACCCCCGCCGCGCAGAGTGCGTCCGATCGCCGGAAGCCCGCGCTGGCGACGGCGGACGACTGGCGGCGAGCTGAGCGGCGCGAGGCCAGCTCAAACCCCAAGTGATGCGTGGAGAAGATGTCTGTATTGAGTCGACCCCGTGACACCGTGATGCCTGTGTAACGCGGTCCGGTCCGGCTATGCGCCGCCACCTGACACCACACACCGCGACCCTCCCTCCAAACACCCTGACTTGATAAAGGCATGCCCGCTTCTGTCCTCCGTTACAAGTATGCAAGAGCGACGATGCGCCTCACCGTCGGGTGACCTGTTCAGGCCAGTGCCCGGTGACGACGCGTAATGCTGCGTGCGGCGCACTGGGCGCACGGACGCCATGCTGGGGCCTGCATGAGGGCCCCACGCTCCGGGACGTGCCCGTGTGACGGACGTGAACGTGTGAGTGCCTCGCGCACGGCGCGCGGGTGGAGTGAACGCGGACAGTCCTGCGACACGCGTCGCCGCGGCACCGCCAGCCGCCGGATAGCACTGTGATTGTTCGCCGTGGCTCGACATCACTTTGGCACCCGCCAGCTGCTGTCCGCACTCGTACTGCAATCACACGGGGTGCGTGTCACCCTGCTTGCGTCCCATCATCCGAGCTGGGCCGGAGCCCTCGGAACAGCCCGCTGGCTGCGCCGGGCCGCCGCCCCGTCCAGCACGCGAGGCACCCTGTCGACTGTGGGCGGGTGTCCGCCTCACCTCCTCCTGTGGGCGGCTGTGATCATCATCTTCTTGAGCAGCGGCTGCGGCTCGCAGCTCCTGGGGTCGCACGACATCTGACCGTTGTCGCCGCACCTGAAATCAGAGGACAGTATGAATACCCGTCATCACGTGCTGCCTCATGGTGCTGGTGCTAAGCATTGCTCTGGAGAGCAGCCAGAAATCGTGTGTGGGGTGGAATCTGAGCAACGCCACCAGGGGTAGTATGATGTCCCAATACTGCACTGTCGCACCAAATATGCGGAGGCAAGGGTGTAACCTCTCCTGGTGCACTTGCTTGCTAAACCCCGAGAACTGGACCCATGCTCTGACCCGCTGGGGCATGACATTTAAGACGCCTTAAAACCGATCGATTATCATAAAATCGAATTGCCTGTACGTAAAAAGATGACGCAAGCTCGATCGACTCGGCTGGTTTCAACAGCGCTTGCAAAGGCAAAGCACGACGACCGACATACCAGGCCCATCCCGCCCAAGTGCCACCCGATGCGGGCGGCGCCGCTCCCCAGGGCGTCCTACACCCACTGACCTGCACTCGAGGCAGGGCCCCGAGGCCGACTCCACCAGCTGGCCGCTGCCGTACTCGGCGCCCTGGATGCGGCAGCCGGCCGGCTCGGCGGCCGGCGCGCTCTCTGTGGTCGGCTCCGGCCGGCTGGCGTTCCAAGCGCTCTCCACGGGGCATTCGTAGCGCGGGCAGCAGAAGCCTTCGATCGGCTGCTCCAGGCAGCCGGCCACCGGCGGCGGGCACGACTGCTGCAGGCAGATGATGTCGCCGCGGAAGCAGAAGCAGAAGTCGCACGGGTTGTCGCGCGGGATCTGCTGCGCCGACACGTACACCTTGCCGTCGAACAGGCAGGCGCCGGCCGCGTGCGGCGCCAGCCCGGCGGGCGTGCGGCGCGAGCGTGGCCGCGCGTTCGGTGGTGGTCGTCGCCGCGTCGCCGGCCGCTGCCTCGCCGTCCACCTCGGCGTCCGTGATGTCAGTGGCGTTCTCGAACGCGTCGGGCCCGACGGTGGCGAGCATGTCGAGTACCTCGTCCGTGACCGAGATCAGCTCCGACTCGGCCTCCGGCTCGCCGCCGTCGGTGGGCGTCGGGCCAGCCGGCGGGTACGGCGTGGCGGCGCTCTCGGCGCCCGGCTCCCCGCCCGCCGCGGTGGTAGCCGAGTCGGCCTCGGCTTCAGCGGCTCCTGCCGAGGAATCCGTCTGGCCCGCTGCGGCTCCGTCGGCAAACTCTGTTGTGGAAGCGTCGGTAGTCCCTTCGGTGGCATCCGTCTGACCATCAGTGATGCCTTGGGTATACGCCGCTGATGTAACTTCGGTGGATCCGTCGGTGGTGTCCGTCAGGCCATCAGTGATGCTCTGGGTATACGCCGCTGACGTAACTTCGGTGGCTCCGTCGGTGGTATCCGTCAGGCCATCAGTGATGCTCTGGGTATACGCCGCTGACGTGACTTCTGTGGCTCCGTCGGTGGTATCCGTCAGGCCATCAGTGATGCTCTGGGTATACGCCGCTGACGTGACTTCGGTGGCTCCGTCGGTGGTGTCCGTCAGGCCATCAGTGATGCTCTGGGTATACGCCGCTGACGTGACTTCGGTGGCTCCGTCGGTGGTATCCATCAGGCCATCAGTGATACCTTGGGTATACGCCGCTGACGTAATTGCTGTGCCTCTTTCGGTGGTGTCAGTCTGACTCTCAGTGACACCATCGGGATACTCCGTTGTCGCGGTAGATCCTCCGGTCTGCTCTTCGGTGGTCCCGTCGGCCGAGATCGTCTGACCCTCGGCGACTATATCGGTGGAATCGGTTGTTGAAGCGTCAGTAGCCCCCGTAGTTGAATCCGATTGGTTATCGAAAGGCCCTCCTGTTGGGTATGTTTGGCTGACGACTCCTTTAGTGGCGTCTGACAATGGAGCGTCGGTAGCACCCTCCGATGACGCTGTCTGATCTTCAGCGCTGCTGTCGGCGAGTCCTGTTGCCGGGACCTCGCTGGTTCCCACATCAGTATCTGCCTGACCCTGAGCAGTAGTCCCTTCGGGTGTCCTCCGTCTGACCGGAAGTTACTATCTCGCCCACGACGGTTTGACCTCCAGGGACCCCTTCAGAAGACGCGGTCTGATCTTCTGTAGCTCCTTCGTACGACTCTGTAAGTCCCGCGGCCTTATCGACCTCCTGATCGGCACTGGCGGCGGTCGTTGACGCCGCCAGACCGCCGGTGCAGCCGCCGATGCCGCATTGGACGCCGTCAGCTCCCTCCGTGCCATCACCAACTGCGGCGGCTCCGGGATCGCCCGAGTCGGTCGCCGCGTCTGGACGGGTTTGCTCCTCGGCGCCAGGGATGGTACCGCCCTCTCCGGCGACCTCCCTGTCCTGGGGGGCGGCTGTCGTCGGGGACGTGGTGTCGGTGCCCAGGCAGCCGCCGCCCACACAGGGGACGCCGTCGGTCCCCGCCGGCCGGTCCGTGGCGCCATCTTCCGTCTCTGTCGTGCTGCCGTCCGGGCTGGCTGAGCTGGGCGCCGGCGGGCAGCCGCTGCCAGTGCAGGGGAAGGATGTGGCCGTGGTGCCATCTTCCGTCTCTGTCGTGCTGCCGTCCGGGCTGGCTGAGCTGGGCGCCGGCGGGCAGCCGCTGCCAGTGCAGGGGAAGGATGTGGCCGTGGTGCCATCTTCCGTCTCTGTCGTGCTGCCGTCCGGGCTGGCTGAGCTGGGCGCCGGCGGGCAGCCGCTGCCAGTGCAGGGGAAGGATGTGGCCGTGGTGCCATCTTCTGTCTCTGTCGTGCTGCCGTCCGGGCTGGCTGAGTTCGGTGCCGGCGGACAGCCGCTGCCAGTGCAGGGGAAGGATGTGGCCGTGGTGCCATCTTCCGTCTCTGTCGTGCTGCCGTCCGGACTGACTGAGCTCGGTGCCGGTGGGCAGCCGCTGCCAGTGCAGGGGAAGGATGTGGACGTGGCGCCGTCTTCCGTCTCTGTCGTGCTACCGTCCGGGCTGGCTGAGCTCGGTGCCGGCGGGCAGCCGCTGCCAGTGCAGGGGAAGGGTGTGGCCGTAGCGCCGTCGTCCGTCTCTGTCGTGCTGCCGTCCGGGCTGGCTGAGCTCGTTGCCGGCGGACAGCCGCTGCCAGTGCAGGGGAAGGATGTGGCCGTGGTGCCGTCTTCTGTCTCTGTCGTGCTGCCGTCCGGGCTGGCTGAGTTCGGTGCCGGCGGACAGCCGCTGCCAGTGCAGGGGAAGGGTGTGGCCGTGGCGGGGCCGGAGCCGGGGCCGCCCGCGGCCGGTCGTTGGCCGTCGGTGCAGCCGGCGTCTGTGCAGACGACGACGCTATCCGAAGCCGCCGGCGGGTACCGCTCGGTGCCCTCTGCTCCGGCGGCGGGCACGTAGCTGCTGCCTTGGTCCGGTGGCGTGGCGCTGCTGTCCGCAGGGGTGGCCCCGGCTCCGGCCGTGTCCTGGGTTGGCTGGTCTGTCACACCCGCCTCCGAGTCAGAGTCGTCCATCACGGACGAGTCACTCTCCGGCGGCGCAGGAGACTCAGACTCGACCACGCCTACGACGGTGGCCTCGCCCTCCTTGTCTTGGGGAGCTCCCGTGGTGGCGCCAGTCTCAGGCGTGGCCAGGGAGTCTGCGCCGCCCGGGGGCCTTTCCGTGGCGGGGTATGAGCTTGTGGCGTCTGCCTCGGGTCTGGCTGTGGACCCGGGCGACTCGCCGCCGGTTGTGGGCCCGAGATCCGTACTGGTAGGGGCAGACCCGGACTCAGTGCTGGTCTCTGCGGGTTCCGCGCCAGGACCAGGCTCGGTAGATTCAGCACCGATGCCGGCCTCGGTGGATGCAGCACCGGCACCGGCGTCGGTAGATTCGGCACCAATATCGGCATCGGTAGATTCGATATCGGCGCCTGCCTCGGCAGATTCAGCACCGACACCGGCGCCGGTAGATTCGACACCGATACCGGCCTCGGTGGATTCAGCATCTACACCGGCGCCGGTAGATTCGTCACCGATACCGGCCTCGGTGGACGGCCCGTCCAGAACATCAGAGGCCTCGCCGCTGGTGCCGGCGTCTGTGGAGGTGCTGGCTTCGGTAGCGGTAGTTCCGGCGCTGACTTCGGCTGATGCCGCGTCTGTGGTCGGTCCGGCATACTCGGCTTCAGTTGTGACCTCAGTGGTGCCCGCGTCGATAGTGGCCTCCGGATAGCCTGCCGCTGTGGAGCCCGATACTCCGCCGGCTTCCGCAGAGCCTAAACCAGGGCTGGCCCCGCCGGACCCCTCGGCCGCGCCCGCTTCCGTGGTCGTGAGTTGGCTGTCCTCGTTCGAACCCAGCACAACGACGGCTTCCGTCGAAGGCAGCTCGTCGTCAGGGTCCGAGAAAGCGGAATCGGTGATAACGTCACCCGATCCCATCTCGGTGTCAGGCACCATTGATGCCATGACAATGACAGGCTCTTTTGTTACTGGCTCCGTGCTGGTCTCTGCGGATATGCCGCCCGGCTCCCCCGCGTCATACCCTGCTGTAGTGCCGGTTTCTGCCGGTGATGATTCGGTGCTGGCCTCAGCCAGTCCCGACTGACTTCCAGGCTCAGTCGGTCCAGACACGGTGCCAGTTTCAGTCAGTGATGAGTCAGTATTGGTCTCAGTAGGCTCGACACCTGCACCCGGCTCTGAAGCTCCTGCCTCGGTAGTCGCTGCTTCAGTGCTAGTCTCCGTAGACTCGGCGTCGGCACCCGGCTCTGAAGCTCCTGCCTCGGTAGTCGCTGCTTCCGTGCTGGTCTCCGTAGACTCGGCGTCGGCACCCGCCTCTGAAGCTCCTGCCTCGGTAGTCGCTGCTTCAGTGCTGGTCTCCGTAGACTCGGCGTCGGGACCTGGCTCCAAAGCTCCTGCCTCGGTAGTCGCTGCTTCAGTGCTAGTCTCCGTAGACTCGGCCTCGGCACCCCAGCTCTGAAGCTCCTGCCTCGGTAGTCACTGCTTCAGTTTCTAGTCCGCCGTAAGAGTCGCTGCTTCAGTGCTAGTCTCCGTGGACTCGGCGTGGGCGCCCGGCTCTGAAGCTCCTGCTTCGGTTGTCGCTGCTTCAGTGCTAGTCTCCGTAGACTCGGCGTCGGCACCCAGGCTCTGAAGCTCCTGCCTCGGTAGTCGCCTGCTTCAGTGCTAGTCTCCGTAGACTCGGCGTCGTCACCCGGCTCCGAAGCTCCTGCCTCGGTAGTCGCTGCTTCAGTGCTGGTCTCCGTAGACTCGGTGTCGGCACCCGGCTCTGAAGCTCCTGCCTTGGTAGTCGCTGCTTCAGTGCTAGTCTCCGTAGACTCGGCCGTCGGCACCCGACTCTGAAGCTCCTGCCTCGGTAGTCGCCGCTTCAGTGCTGGTCTTAATTGATTCTTGACCATAGTCGGCCGTCGTGTACCCGGGCTCGGTGCCGGCTCCAGTGATCTCCGTCGCTGACTCTGCCGAGTCGGAGGTGATCTCAGCCCCAACATCACCGCCCCCGAGACTGCCTTCAGGGCAGTAGGGACCGGTGCAGCTCTCAGTGGACAGCGGCGTGCTGGCGTCAACGGACTCACTGCCAGGACGCACTGATTCTGTGGAGGACTCCGGCTCCGTCTGTGCCGTAGTGCCAGCCCCGTCTAGAGTAAGCGTAGTGGTCTCCGCATCGTCCGTCGGCTCAGAGCCCTCGCTTTCGTCTGTCGCTCCGCTGCCCTCAGCATCATCAGCTGGAACAGGCTCGCCGTATCCGAGCAGACCCTCCGCGCCAGTGAGATCTTCGGATCCCGGCGGCTGATCGACGTCAGCGCCGGGAAGGTCGACACTCTCAGGGCTCCCCTGGTCGGGCTCACCGCCACTGGCCTCGCCTTGAGGAGTCGCGTCGTCCGCGGAGTCAGCGACCGCGCCGTCTGGGGCGCCGGCGGAACCCTCCTCCTCGTCTGTCTCTCCGCCGGCGGATTCCTCCGTCGGCTCGGTCTGCTGCTCAGGGGTACCACCACCGAACTCGTCCGCCGGCTCGGTCTGCTGCTCTGGGGCGCCTTCACCAGACCCCTCCGTCGGCTCGGTCTGCTGTTCAGGGGCGCCTTCGCCAGACTCCTCCGTCGGCTCCAGCAAACCGTCTGTGTACTCGTCCGTCGGCTCGGTCTGCTGTTCAGGGGCGCCTTCACCAGACTCCTCCGTCGGCTTCAGCAAGCCGTCTGTGTACGCGTCCGTCGGCTCGGTCTGCTGCTCAGGGGCGCCTTCACCCAGACTCATCAGTCGGCTTCAGCAAACCGTCTGTGTACGCGTCCGTCGGCTCGGTTCTGTTGCTCAGGAGCGCCTTCACCAGACTCATCAGTCGGCTCGGTCTGCTGCTCAGGGGTATCATCACCGGACCCCTCCGTCGGCTCGGTCTGCTGCTCAGGGGCGCCTTCACCAGACTCCTCCGTCTGCTCGGTCTGCTGCTCAGGGGCGCCTTCACCAGACTCCTCCGTCTGCTCGGTCTGCTGATCAGGGTATCATCACCGGACCCCTCCGTCGGCTCAGTCTGCTGCTCAGGGGCGCCTTCACCAGACTCCTCCGTCGGCTCGGTCTGCTGCTCAGGGGTACCATCACCGGACCCCTCCGTCGGCTCTGTCTGCTGCCCTGGGGCGCCTTCACCAGGCCCATCCGTCGGCGTCAGCAGATCGTCCGTGTACGCCTCCGTGGGCTGGGTCTGGAGGCCGCCATCGTCGGAGGCCTGCTCGGGGCCGGTCGCCAGCCCGCTGATGCTGATGGTCTGCGTGACGGGCGGCTCGGTGGTCGGCGCCGGCGTCGGCACCACCACCTGGCCGGCGTCCGGCTGGCCGCCGCTGCCCTCCAGTTCGAGACCCAGGCTCTCCAGCACCGACACGTCTGCAGAGGGCGGACAGGTCGTCAGATCAGGCACGCACTCGCGGCTGGCGGGAGAGAGGTCTGCTGTGCGGCAGCAGCGGGTCAGCATTTGTCATCGCATCTTTCAGACAAACGCTTCCCCATGAGAACTGAAACCACCCGGATCAGAGTAGATATTCACGCATGGGGTGACAGGTCCAAAATAACATGCAGCAAAACTGGCTGACGGACAGTGTTTTCGTCCATTGTCCATGTACCTGTTCATAAGTAACCTCGTTAACTTTGTGTTGACAGCTAATGTTTTGTTTGAAGACAGCCAACGCCGTGAACAATAGACGCGTCTCCCAGTCTGTACTGGCCGGCCACCAGCGGCGGTCATCGGCGCCACTCACCGCACGAGTACTCGGCTGGGCAGCAGGCGCCGGCTGGCGGCGGCAGCGGCCTGCAGTCCTTGCCGCGCAGCTCGGCTGGCATCTCGCACAGCTGGCTGGCGCACACCACCTCGCCGCTCAGGCACAGACAGTACTTGCAGGGGTCCGGGTGCACGATCACGTCGTTCTCGGCGTAGATGTTGCCCTCCAGATAGCACTGCAGCGCCACCGGCGCCTGCTCCACCTCGCCTGGCGGAAAGGGAGGGTTGACACGCTGCGCGTGCGCGACTGGACATGACACACGGGGAGGGTTACAGTGCGGTCAGTTGAGGACTCCGCAAAATCTATATTTTAGCACCGCGTCGACGTTTTAATAGCGTTGGAAATTGCAACGCTGTGTCAGCCTACTCGCTTCAAGGGAATGTTCCACATTTGAAGATACTGGAACAAGCATAAAATATGACGAAGTAAGCTCACTTGTAACTATTGGTGCACTTTTAATTGGAGAAGACTGCTCTAGACAACACAATTTCTCTGTTTAATAAATATGCCCTCAATACTTCACCGCTTGATGGCGTCATCGTGCCTTGCGCAACACTGATTAACAGCCAATTGACGGGCGTCACATCTAGAAATCGTGCTTACAAAAGTCAGTTTTGAACGATTCGACAATTATGTTTTTCTGGGCCTTGACCACCACATGGCTAATGAAATGACGGGATTTTAATGGCATTATTATGGCATCATGGATGTCTGAGTGACCTTGAAATAATCCCCTCCGAAAAAATCTGCCCATTTCCACCACACGCGTGCAGCTCAGAAACTAGATGGATTTAGGTCTTTCTTAATAAGGGCCGGGCTGTGAACTGCACCGGATGATCTTCAATATGGCTGTTTCAGTTCAAAGCCCTATACCAGTGTGGAACACTCCCCTTAACACATCTGGTGCCGTTAAGGCACAACTTGACCTCACGTTGTTTCGGTCTTTTACGGCGAGAAAACAGGTGAATGTGTACCCAAGGCTTTTCCACGTCAATTGCTCACCGTTCAGAACTCGCCAGCGCGGAATAGTTTCAAGGGTAAAGCTCCGACCAAACGAATGAAGCCACGCCAACCCAAGCGGGCCGTGCCTCTGTTGGAGGTTGGCGCGCCCGATCGTCCCTGGCACGCCGGTCCACTCACTGCAATCGTAGGCGGGGCAGCAGGCGCCCTTCTGGTAGTAGGGACGGCAGGGCCCGGTCGGCGCCGCCGGACATTTGCGCGTGTCGCACTGGACGACAGAGTTGGCGCAGAAAGCAGCGGATCTGGCACTGGCTGCTGGTGGGCAGCTGCGCGCCGGCCGCATACGTCACGCCCTCCACCAGGCACGAGCCCTCGCCGGGTACCGCCGGCAGCAGCTCGTCCAGTGCCGCATCCCCGGTGCCCGGCGACTCTGACTCGGTCGTGGGCTGGGAGGTCACGCCAGGCTCTGTCGCGAGAGAGTCGGCTGCGGTTGTGATGGAACCGGTGGTGGGTTTAGTGGTGCTATCGCCCGCGGGGGTAGTGGAGCCGGTGGCGAAGTCGGTGGCACTGCCGTCCGAGGGCGTAGTGGATTCAGTGGCAACACCGTCCGTGGATGTGGGGGAGCCGACGGTGTATTCGGTGGCACCGCCGTCCGTAGGTGTGGTGAAACCGGTGGTGTATTCAGAGGCACCACCGTCCGTGGGTGTAGTAGAACCGGTGGCGGATTCAGTAGCTTCACTGTCCGTGGGTATGGTGGAACCAGTGGTATATTCAGTGGTACCACCGTCCGTGGGTGTGGTAGAACCGGTGGTGGATTCAGTAGCGCCACCGTCCGTGAGTGTAGTAGAAACCGGTGGCGGATTCAGTGGCACCATCGTCCGAGGGCGTGGTGGAACCGATGGCGGATTCAGTAGCGCCGTCTTCCGTGGGTGTAGTAGCATCTGTGGCGGATTCAGTGGCTTCACTGCCCGTGGGTGTGGTGGTACCGGTGGTGGATTCAGTGGTGCCACCGTCCGTGAGTGTAGCAGAACCGGTGGCGAATTCAGTGGCAACCAGCGTCCGAGGGCGGCGGTGGAGCCGATGGTGGATTCAGTAGCGCCGTCGTCCGTGGGTGTAGTAGAACCTGTGGCGGATTCAGTGGCTTCACTGCCGTGGGTGTGGTGGAACCGGTGGTATATTCAGTGGTACCACCGTCCGTGGTAGCCGTCGCGGTCGTGGTGGCTTCAGAAGGCTTGCTGTCCACCGTAGATTCATAAGTTTTCATCGCCCTCTTCAGGCCTTTCGGCCTCCGTAGATACCTCTGACACGTCGGCCACACCTGATGTGTAGTCGGAGACCCCATCGTCGGTTTGTAGATCCAGTGAAGTCAAGTTTTGTAGTCGAACCATCTCCCGTGACCGTCGTAGATTCGGGCTCAGCATTCGTCGCAAACTGTGTGGTAGCAGAGTCTGTCGCATAATCTACGGCGCCGGGTCCCGTTGTAGAGTCTGTCACTCCCGCGTCTGTCGTAGATTCCCGGGATCCGGGGTATGTTGAAGAGTCGGTAGGTTTGGTGCTAGTTGTAGGCTCGCTGGACTCAATGTCCGTTGTAGATCCTGTTGTCCCGTAACCTGTTGTGGAATCTGCGATTTCAGAGTCGGTTGATGCCTCGGTAATTCCAGAGCCTGTGGCAGGTCTCGTGGTCCCAGAGCTCGTTGTGGATTCAAAATCACCAATATCTGGTGTGGATTCGGTGCTCTCGGCGTCTGTCGCAGCCTGCTCGGTTCCGCTGCTCGTGGCGGCTGTAGTAGTCCGGGTGTCGGTGCCGAATTCGGTGCTCACCTCCGCTCCCGGGGCGGGCTCCGAGGCACGGTCTTCAGGGGCGTCCGTGGGTGGGAAGGGAGTCTCATAGCCTGTTTGGGAGTCGGTAGTCGGATGCCTATTGGCAGCTCCGGAAAGACGCCGGGATAGGCCTCTGTTGGCTTGGAGGAGACGGCAGCTTCTGAAGAGGACGGCGTCGTCTCGGCGCCAGAGCTCGGCGGAGACGTCTGCTCGTCCTCGGCCCCCAGCTGGCTGGCGCTGTCGGGCTGTCCAGTGGTGGGCGTCAGCTCTGCAGTGGCTCCTTGACTGGCGACTGAGGTCGCTGACGGCTCAGTGCCGGTTTCGGCAGACCCTGCGATTTCGGCCACGGTAGTCTCAGTCACAACCGTCAGCACTAGTTGTCCGCGTCCCTCCCACCGTCGAATATTCAGAGCCTGGTTCGACAGACTCTTCAGAGGGGTACGCTCCCGACCCGTCGGTGCTCTCCGACCCACCAGAAGCGGGTGTTGCGCTGGCGAAGATGTCCGCGGCCTTGTCCTGTTCCTGTCGCGGGCTGCCGCCGGACCCCAGCTCGCCGGAGTAAGCCTTCTCCTCCTCGCTAGCACCCTCCTCCGCGCTTGACTCGGTGGTCGTCGGCTGACCGTCGATGCCAATGAGCTGGTCCCCGGACGGGCCTGCCTCTTCGGAAGCATCGTCGGAGCCGAGTCCCAGCGCGTTGTTGATGGCGTTGAGGATGGATTGCTGCAGGTCGATGACAGACGGGAATTCGGTCGTCACCTCGGTCGCCGATTCTGGGTCGTCGCCAGAGCCGGCCTCGCGATCGGTCTCGGCTTCCCCGGAGCCAGGGTCGCGCTCCGCATCCGGCACCAGGTCACCGCCGTCCACGGCGCCTTGCTGACCGCCCGGCTCGGTGGTGAGGTCGCCCTCATCCCCGGAACCCGCCTCGGCGCCGTAGTCGGGCGTGGATCCGTCGCCGTCCCCAGACTGGGGACCAGTCGCGTCGGTCTGAGACTCGGGGGATTCAGGCCCGTCAGTGCTGAGTGCCGACGTCGGGGTGGTTCCTCCCGGCGTTCCGTCTTCTTGGAGGCCGGAGCCGTCCGTCGTGTCATCCGTGGTCAGCGGTGTGGACGAAGCGTCGGTGACACCATCCGAACCCTGCTCTGGGGATTTGTCCCCAGACCCGACCTCCGGGGTGGTGGTAGGCAGGCTGTCTTCATCCTCCTCATCTTTAGGATAGTCTGTAGTTGTGTCTTGTGAACCTTTGATTATTCCGTCAAGAATGTTCACAATATCGCTGCTCTCTGTCGTCTCAGGTTCTCCCGAGCCCACCAGACTGTCTTCATCCTCCTCGCCACTCGGATATACAGATCCATAGCCTTCTGTTGAGGTAGGTATGCCTTGTCGGTCATCCTCATCGGTCTGAGACCGGTTGGAAATGCCGAGCAGGTCCTCAGTCTGTCCCGGCCTTACGTCGTAGTTGTCCGCTGACAGGTCTTTAGTGGTTGACTCTGGACCGGTGCTTTGGGGACGTTGAGTGCTTGCTCCGTCTTCGCCAGATCCGTCCACTTCCATCATGGTCGCCTGGACTACGAACACGTTCTCCTCCTCGGCTTCCCCGGGCTGCTCTGCGCCCGGTACGGCCGGTCGAGAAGTGGACTCACTCGCCTCCCCAGAGCCATCCGCTGGCGCCTCGGCTCCTGGAGTCTCCGAAATGATGTCGACCCCCATCCGTCTGCCCCACGGACGCTTCAGTGGATGCGTCCCCGGAGCCAGAGGACTCCTGGTCGTCTCCTTCGGCAGCCAAGTCGGAGCCCTCTGTCGAGTCCAGGCCCTCGATTGTGGTGTAGTCATCTGTTAATGGTTGTTGCGTCGTCTGACTGTCAGCAGGCCGATCTGCAGCACCGACACCCGAGGTCGTTGTTGGTGACGCCCTCCACTCCGGGGATATCTGTGGCGTCCTCGTCAGATTATCAGCCCCACCATCCACCGCTTCCCCCTGACGCCTCTTCCGGCTCCTCTGTGGCGGGACTGGGCACCTGTTGTACCCCCTAGGCCCATCGGTCGTCGCCTCGGTGAAAGTCTCTCCCGACCCATCGGGTCGTTTGGGCTCCCGGCCGGTGTCCGTCATGCCGAGGAATTTCCTCTAGCTCCGTGTAGGATGGCTCGTCCTCTCCATAGCTCGGCTTCTCTGTCGTCCCTGCCTCCGTTCCGGTCCCGGCCACTGTTGAGCTCTCGCTTTGTTCTACAGTTGTTCCTTGGGTGAAGTCTGCGCCGGGGACGGTGGGGCTCCGGTGGCGTCTCCGGACGTCACGCCACTGGTGGGGCTCGGTGGTGGCCGTGCTCTGGGCGCCACTGACGCCAGTGGTGCTGGTGGCGTCTGTCGTACCGTCCTCAGACTCGGTGGTGGCCGTGCTCTGGGCGCCACTGACGCCAGTGGTGCTGGTGGCGCCTGTCGTAACCGTCCTCAGACTCGGTGGCCGATGTTGTCGGGTAGTCGGAGCCGGCTCAGTGGTGGCGTCTGTCGTACCGTCCCCAGAGACTCGGTGGCCGATGTTGTCGGGTAGTCGGAGCCGGGCTCAGTGGTGACGTCTGATTGTACCGTCCTCAGACTCGGTGCCCGATGTTTGTCGGGTAGTCGAAGCCGGGCTCGGTGGTTGACGTCTGTCGTACCGTCCTCAGACTCGGTGCCCGATGTTGTCGGGTAGTCGGAGCCGGGCTCAGTGGTGACATCTGTTGTACCGTCCTCAGACTCGGTGCCCGATGTTGTCGGGTAGTCGGAGCCGGGCTCAGTGGTGACATCTGTTGTACCGTCCTCAGACTCGTGGCCCAATGTTTTCTGGTAGTCGAAGCCGGGCTCAGTGGTGACGTCTGTTGTACCGTCCTCAGACTCGGTGGCCGATTGTTGTCGGGTAGTCGGAAGCCTGGCGGCTTCGGTGGGTGACCGTCTGTTGTACCGTCCCTCAGACTCCGGGTGCCCAATGTTGTCTGGTAGTCGAAGCCGGGCTCATTGGTGACGTCCTGTTGTACCGCTCCGTCAGACTCGGTGCCCGATGTTGTCGGGTAGTCGAAGCCGGCTCAGTGGTGGCGTCTGTTCCCTCTGACTCGTGCCCTGTTGTCTGTAGTCGAAGCCCGGGCTCAGTGGTGACGTCTGTTGTGCCGTCCTCAGACTCGGTGCCCGATGTTGATCTGGTAGTCGGAGCCGGGCTCAGTGGTGGCGTCTGTTCCCTCTGACTCGGTGCCCGATGTTGTCTGGTAGTCGAAGCCGGGCTCAGTGGTGGCGTCTGTTCCCTCTGACTCGGTGCCCGAGGAACACCTGGGACCCGGAGTCAGAGTACCGGCCGTCGGCGTCCTCCGTGAATGCCACTGTAATACAGATACCTGTCAGCCGGTTTTCAAAATGCGGCGTTCTTCCCACTAGGCAATGCGTAAAGACAGGTTTTGTCAGACTCACCACACCGTGACAATCACAAACAAAAAAGCGAACGGAGGGAAAAGTTGCTACCTCGACATGGGACATGAACAGATTGACTAGAACGGCGGCACCAGAAGAATCGACACCCAGCACACACGCGCACCCACCACACACCGAGTGTCTGGACGCCGGAACGTGCCCGTGCCGACATGCCGAGTGCAAGACAACATGCGGGTGGCCGCTGATCGTCTAGTGCGCTCTCAGGGCTTGAGGCGTGCATACCTTCGGTGTCCGCCCCACTGCAGCCCGTCGGCGGGCGAGGCGGTGGTGGCCCTCAGGTCGGCCTCGCTCGGGGCCGTATACGCGGCCGGGCTGGCCGGCTCGGTCCGGGCTGACCGTGCTCTCACGCTCCGTCGACGGTCACGGCGCTGGTGGGTGCGCAGGTGGCTGGGTTGAGGCGTCTGGCGAAGCCTCTCCCGGGTACACAGTCGGAAGCTGGGCGCGTCGGGTACACCACGGAGAGGTCGGGACTGGTGGGTGGCTTGCGCGGCGTCGGCGTGGTCTCCTCGACGCCGGGCGAGAGGCTCGAGTCTGTAGGCGATCGGTCTTGGTCGGGGACGGACGCCTTCTCATTTTCGGTGGTGTCTTCCCCGGGCGGCACGGTTCCCGCCGCGGACTCGTCGTCGCCTCTTCCTGTGGCTCAGTTACACCCTCTGTCGTGCTCTCTGGACCAGCCCCCGCCACCGCTGTCGCTGTCACCACGTTAGGCTGCGGCTGCGAGCTGCTTCCTTCGGGCGCGCCGCTGCCGTCCACCTCAGCCGACGGCTCTCCGCCAGCAGACCCTCTCCGCTGGACTCGGTCACGCCGGCGGCGTCCCGCCTGGTCAGAGGCCCGCTCAGGGTCGGCGCCTGCTCGCCTCCGACCCGGGCGTGTATAGCTCGTCCGTGGCGTCAGGCTCATCGCCGGGTATGCTTGGCCGCCGAGTTCTGTGGTGGCGTCGAACTCAGTAAGACCACCAGCTGTGCTCCTGTTGTGTGGTGGCGTCTCCCGGATAGGTTGTGTTACCTGTGCTCTTGCTCTGTGGTGGGCGTTTCCCGAATAGGCGCGCACCCGTGCTCGTTTCTGTGGTGGCGTCTCCCGAATAGGCGCTGCTACCTTTGCTCTGCTCTGTGGTGGCGTCGTCCTGAATAGCGCTGCTACCTGTGCTCGGTTTCTGTGGTGGCGTCTTCCCGAATAGGCGCTGCTACCTGTGCTCTGCTCTGTGGTGGCGTCTCCTGAATAGGCGCTGCTACCTGTGCTCGTTTTCTGTGGTGGCGTCCGAAGAATCTGTGGTGACCTCTGGCGCTTTGCCTCCGTGGTCGTGTAAGACGGGGTCGTCGCGTCATCTGTGTCCTGCTCTGTTGTAACATCGGGCGAGTAAGTTTGTACTTTCTGTGTCCTGTCTGTTGTAACATCAGACGAGTAGGTTGGGCTTTCTATGTCCTGTTCTGTTGTAACATCAGGCGAGTTAAGTTGTGCTTCCATGTTGTGGCATTGGGCGAGTCCAGTTGTGGCTTTCTATGCCCTGTTCTGTTGTAGCCATCGGGAGCAGGGTAAGTTGTGCTATCTGTGGCCCTGTTCTGTTGTAGCATCGGGCGAGTACGTTGTGCTTTCTGTGCCCTGTTCTGTTGTAGCATCGGGCGAGTACGTTGTGCATCTGTGTCCTGTTCTGTTGTAGCATCGGGCGAGTACGTGTGCTTTCTGTGCCCTGTTTCTGTTGTAGCAATCGGGCGAGTACGTTGTGCTATCTGTGTCTGTTCTGTTGTAGCATCGGGCGAGTACGTTGTGCTGTCTGTTGTCCTGTTCTGTTGTAGCATCGGGCGAGTACGTTGTGCTTTCTGTGCCCTGTTCTGTTGTAGCATCGAGGCGAGTACGTTTGTGCTTTCCGTGTCCTGTTCTGTTGTAACATCAGGCGAGTACGTTGTGCTTTCTATGTCCTGTTGGGTAGTGCCGCGGAAGGGTACCTCGTTATCATCGGCTTGTTTTTCGGCGGTGATATCGGATACATTATCCTTTCCGGTGTAGTGTCGAACACACGGTTGTGCCGTCTATGCTCTGTTCTGTGGATGTATCAGACGAGTCTGTTGTGCCAGCAGTGGTCTGTTCTGTGGAGGTATCACAGACGAATCTGTTGTGCCAGCAGTGGTCTGTTCTGTGGAGGTGGCAAACAAATCTGTTGTGCCAAGCGGTGGTCTTGTTCTGTGGGAGTTTCAGACGAATCCGTTGTGCCAGCAGTGGTCTGTTCTGTCGAGGTTTCGGATGAATCTGTTGTGCAGCAGCGGTCTGCTCTGTGGAGGTATCATATAACCTGTTGTTCCAGCAGTGGTTCTGTTCTATGGAGGTTATCATATATACCTGTCGTGCCAGCAGTGGTCTGTTCTGTGGAGGTATTAGACGGATCCGTTGTGCCAGCAGTGGTCTGTTCTGTGGAGGTTTCAGACGAATCCGTTGTGCCAGTAGTGGTCTGTTCTGTGGAGGTGTTCAGACGAAATCCGTTGTGCCAGTTGTGGGTCTGTTCTGTGGAGGGTTTCAGACGAATCCGTGTGCCAGTAGTGGTTCTGTTTCTGTGGAGGTTTCAGACGAATCCGTTGCGCCAGTAGTGGTCTGTTCTGTGGAGGTTTCAGACGAATCCGTTGTGCCAGCAGTGGTCTGTTCTGTGGAGATTTCGGACGAATCCGTCGTGCCAGCAGTGGTCTGTTCTGTGGAGATTTCAGACGAATCCGTTGTGCCAGCAGTGGTCTGTTCTGTGGAGATTTCAGACGAATCCGTCGTGCCGATAGTGGTCTGCTCTGTGGAGATGTCGGATGAATACGTTGTGCTAGCAGTGGTCCGTTCTGTGGACGTATCAGACGGATATAACGCGCTTTTCAGTACTCTGGTTGTGAAGGTGTCGGATACGCTTGTTGTTCGCAGCCCAGAAGGCCCCGTCGGTCGATCCACTGTCCACCACCCTCGTCTGGTTCGCGCTCTTCGGGTCCGTCTCCGCTCGAGGCCTCAACAAGCTTCTCCTCTTTCTTGGGTATCCTGGGCGCTCCTTCGTACGTTCGCTCCGGTTCGCTACTGTCCTGTCCAACGGTCTCCTCTCGACTTGCGCTGGTCTCGGTAGCGTCCTCCGCGCCCGCCTCCTGAGTCCTCCTCCTCCGTCGGCGCCCCGCTGCCGTCCTCCGGCGGCGCCCCGCTGCCGTCCTCCGGGGGCGTCGCCGCGGTCGTCTGCCCCCGGCGCGTTCCGGGGCGGCGCCGGGCTCGCCGGCAGCAGCTCGTCGCTTCCGGCGCGCTGGTGGTGCCTTCCGAGCCGGGCTCCGTGCTGTCGGCGCCACCTGCGGGCCGGACAGGGGCGCTCAGCGCGGCGAGGACGTCCGGCACGCGGCCCCTCGACGCGTGCACGGGGAACGGGACCGGGCCAGGCACTACTGTTACGATCATCAGGCGCTGCCCACAGGTGGTGTTGCTCAAACATGCTTTCGGTCGGCGGGCGGAACGCACTGGCTGTTCGCTGTGCCGGTTGAACATTGCCCTCATTGCAAACATGCCCTCATTGCAAACAGAAATTCCCGAAGCCGATTACGATTCGACGCAAGTTGTCCTGCTGTGCCACATTAAACATGTCTGCTTCTAATGCACTCTACTTATATCCGTGCCTTCATGGTGCTGATAACAACTCGTGGAATATCATATGGACCTGATCTAGTGTGGGATTCGGTGGTGAAGCACTAGGAGCTCGACGGAACTCGCATTGCAGATGCCGGTGATCAACACAAACATGATGCTGGCATGCAGTATAAATATTGCTAGGCTCGTGCCGAAGCGGGCGTCTGAAGTGCAACCGCATCGCCCGCAAGACACCGTCCTAAAATGCCACCGAGACGCTGTTCCCCGCAGTGACCTCCGCTAGCAACATGCGACGCAGCGCTGGCAGCCACTACCAGCCCCAGACGAGGCGCTACAGGCGAGCCAGCGCGAGCTGTGCCGATGCGCGAGGGCGAGGGAGGGACCCGGGCCGACCAGGATCGAGCGGGGGCGAAATGCGGGGCTCGTTACCGTTGACGGGCGGCACTAGGTCGTTACCCAGCTGCCGTCCCTGAATCTGCACCCGGCGCGTGGTGTTCCCTGGAACACACCAGGCGGTTGGCCGGCGCCGGCACAGGTGGAAGCCAGAGGCGCGGGGCCAGCGGTGGCAGGCGGTGTGCGGCACGGCGGCAGTGGCACATGGACACGGAGAACAGAAATGACATCGGAGTCACAGGAAGAGCCATACCTACCCGTCGGAGCGAAGCCCTCGTGTAAGGACACGCTACCGTCCCATTTCTTGGAAGCGTTTGGACTGTAAATCGACTGGGGCTGGGATGTGAGTGGAATGGCGTCAACACAGTGGTGACTAAGGTTGACTTCTATTTCACCCCTGATCAACCTTTTTCCGGTGTAGAATGGGCGGGAGTACGCGGATGCCCTTCGGTTACTAGACAAAGTATTGTGTTGTGGGGTCGTAGAGATCTTCTGACATTGACTGGAAGTAGGCTCTCTTGGAAAACCCTGGCACTCGCCACAGGAGTTCTGGTTCAACGATAATTGGAGCTTTTCAGTGCTCTAAGAGCCGAGCTCATTTCCCGCCCATGAGTTCCGGTTCGAAAATCCAGCTTGCGCTAATGCCGTGGCGAAGAGCCATAGCATCCGTTGTTGAGCCGTCGGAGCCGTCGGGCGCGGCCGACGTCGGCAGGTACTCACCGCACTGGTACTGCGGGGTCAGCACTGGCCGGCCGGCGGCGGCACCGGTCGGCACGAGGACTGGGCGTGGTCCAGCGGCGTGGCGCAGTCCTGCACGGCACACTTCACCTCGCCGTGCATGCAGTAGCAGTGTCGGCATGGGTCCTCGCCGGCGATCTGCGGGCGGCGACGGCCCGACCGGTCAACGGAACACTCTCGACGGCGCTGCGCCACAACACCTGCATGTTGCGAGCAGATGTGGCAGGACGTCCCCGCAAAGGTGAACAGATAATTTGTGATTTTGTTGTGGAATTCTATGATGTCCTTTTCCCACCATTGTTTGCCCCACTTCTGATCCGATATTGCAAAAGAAATGTTCACAAACAGTAAACAAAAAAAGTGAGTAGCCAACATTTGTAACACATTTCAAACAATTTTAGCTAATCATCATGCAAATACGACGGATAATCAAACCACTGAAACTGAAACATATGTAACCCTTCTCATCCGTAACCGCAATCACCACATATAAAGCCTTGTATCACCACAATCTCCTTATCTTCGACACCATTATGAACTGCACTGGCTCCTGGACCCCATCCAACAAAAAAAAAAAGACAGTGTTAGCTGAGGTGGACTCCTTGGAGACCTTGCAGACTCTGCGATCGATTAGGCGGGGCCCCCTACCCACGTGATTGCCATTCTTCACTAATGCTGAATGAATGAATAAGTGAATGAGCCTGTGGTAGGGGTAATTAGCTTGAAGTCATTTGCTAGCTACAGCTTTGACTGCTCTCAGCCTTTCCCCATATAGTCGTGCTCTGGTTCCTATCTGTTCAAGTCTATATCCACTCCATGGTTAGGAGTGCCGCGACTTCCTCTTCGTGTTTTCTGTGTGGAGCGTAGGATTTATTGCGTCACTGGGATAGCGGAGGGGCCTTCTGGTTGTCTGTTCATGGAGGCCTGTTCAGTGAATGAAGCTAGGAAAAGTTTTTACACCACGGACACGGAGAGCTCCTCCGGCGGGCAGAGCCCTCTGCCGGGACGTTGTCGTGGCTGCCTCACCTGCTCGCCGTCCGTGTAGTTGAGGCCATTGTGCAGACAGCCGGCGGCAGGGTCCGGCCGCATGGTCGTTAGCGGAGGAAGCGTGGTCGTCTCGAAATCTGCGGCACGGGCCAGCCACTGCCTTAACCTCGACCACGTTACAGTCCCGTTCAGGAAACTCGGCATGTTCAAGACAGCAAATGCACATGCGGACACAGGTGCTGGTGTGCGCCGCTAGTTGCATTGCGTTACATCTGCCACGTCGGCCGCCTCTTGTCGCACGGGACAGCGCGGTTAGTTGATTTGTCGGGAGATAACCAGCGTCAACAAATTACGCCTATATTCACATTTTTTTTCACCACCTGCGTTCCGACTTCGTCAATATCTAACGTCAGCACAGCCGCGAACATCGCACCATCCGTTCTGTTGGCAAGACCACTCGATCCCGGCCTTGGCCCTGCTGCAGCCGAGGAGTGTGACTTACCGCAGTCGTAGCGGACGGGGCAGCAGACCCCCGCGGTGAACACGGGCCGGCAGCCGGGCACGCGCATGGTGCACTCCTGCTGCACGCAGGCCGTGTGGTTCCTGATGCAGTAGCAGATGTCGCACGGCTCGCTCGGGTCAGACGGCACCTGCGGCGACAGAGGCGACACCGCATGGTCACACCCCGGGTCAGCCACCAGGGACAGGTGGCCACGCGACGAGGGCAGAGCTGGTGGAAGTGGGGGCGGGCTGCTCCACTGCAAGCTCCTGGCTTGGCGTGAGGAAAAACGCCTCATCTGACGTCTTGCAAAACAGACGCTCGTCTAAACTGATGGAGCTGTCAGTCAAGTTCATTAATATCATGGTGATCAAGTTCAGTTTATCATGTTATCGGAGCTCCCAGGTCCCTAGCAACCGCCCTCGTTCCGAAGGGCTCGAATTCGGGTCTGCCAGCGACGACGAGGACGGAACATTTTTGTGGGAAGGCAACAGCGCTGCCAGCCGCGCTTGTAGAACAGCTCATCCGGCAGCCAACCGCCCGCTGCCAGCGCGCCGGCGCGCGGCCGCCGGCAGATGGCGCTGCAGTCCCACCTGCGTCCGTCCGCGTAGCTCCGCCGTCGAACGAGCAGCCGCTCGGACCGATATCGTCGACGCCGTCGGCCGGCGGCGGCACCTCCGTCGTGGGTGGTGGTGGTTGTGGTTGTGGTGGTGGTTTGGTTGACCATGCCCAGCATCTCCATGATCGGACAGCACTGCCGGCACGTGCACCCGACCGGTCAGCGCGGCCGTCCTGCCGTCATCTACCAGTCTGATAGGCATCGTAATTGTGTCACGCGGAGCGAGCTTGTTTTTCCGCTTCGCAGTGATATCACTCGCATCGACACGAACACGTGCACTTCTTGAATGTTGTAATCCAGCATGAGCAGCCACCAGGAGCTATCCCTGGGGGTCAGTTACGGAGCGTCGGATTCAGTGGGACACTGTTCCGCTGGGATGGCGTCCCAATGGAATGGCGTCGCAGACACTGCCGCTCATTTGGCTCGTCCGTGAGGACCAATTATCAACGGGTCAGAATGGCGGGGCTGGAACGAGGTGGTCGTGCCATGGATTTGCCTGTGGTGGCTGCCTGTTGGCAAACCATTCTCCGTTGAACTGGAATTACGATGCTGAGGTGATGACTTCGGGTTCTAGATCACAAACCATGTAAGGCAAGGAATCTCATTTTCAAAGCAGCCTCAGCGAAACAAAAAACGATTTAAAGTGTACACAGAATGGCGAACACCAATGCAGGTGAACGGCTGCTGATACGTTTCCGACGCATTATTAGCGATCGATGCTTGCCAACCACTGCGACGCACACAGAGCCAGCCTGGGTTCACGAAAGTGGTCACTTGCGATCAACACCATTAACAAATCGCGGTGACCGGTCGGGTTCTGAAAGCGAGCCGACCAGCCTCCCACCTGCAAAGGCAATGCAAGCCCACCGCTTTCCCAAGGCCCCGCCCATGGCTTCGACTGCAATCACGCGCGGTGCAATGGTCCCAAATGTCTGAGCCCTTTGCACAACCGTCTTCGGCGGGCGTCGCTCGCGCGGGCGGGTGTGGTGTCTCGGCGGCGGCGCGGCTCCGTCGCCCGGGGCCGGCTCGTGCGCTCCATCCAGCGCCGGCGGCGGGCCCCGACCGTCCAGCTTCCTGTGTCTGCGGTCGGGCCGCGCCGTCCCGCTTCTAACGCTAATGTGCACAGCCGGGGTCTGACGTAACGTGAGGCCGAGGTCACCGGGTGGCGACCCTCCGGCGGGCGGAGCGAGCTCGCGATGGTCTGTGGAGGCCCGTGATGGGTCTGTTTGAGGCTGACTGTCCGTGATGGGTCTGTTTGAGATCTTGTCGTGAAAGGGCTGTTGAGGCTCGTGGTGGGTCTGCTAATGCTGACTATAGGTATGTTCTGTTAATCTGCTCGTGCCAGGGCTTGTGGAATCCGTGATGAATCTGCTAATGCTGACTATAGGTCTGTTCTGTTAATCTGCTCGTGCCATGGCTGTGGAATTCCGTGATGGGTCTGTTGTAGTGATCAGCCCGTGAGGGCTGTGGAGACCCGTGATGGGTCTGCTAATGCTGACTATAGGTCTGTTCTGTTAATCTGCTCGTGCCAGGGCTGTAGAACCCGTGATGAGTCTGTTATGGTGATCAGCCCGTTGGCAGGCTGTAGGACCCGTTGAGGGTCTGTTACAGCGATCAGCCGTGGCGGGCTGTAGAGGCCGAATGCCTACGATACTTCCTCTGCTGCCTGTGTGCCGTGGGTCTGTGGAGGTTGTCTGATGGTGATGGGTCGTTGAGGTCCGCCCCTGACCAGTTCTGGTAGGAGTCGAGCTTGGCAACGACGGGCACGTTGAGAATTGCCAGCACGTGCCGGATCCGTCACGCGGTGTGTTGTCGCGACGGGAGTGGTTGAGACTGTTCTCGTGGATTACAACCCAAGAAAACACCAAATCGCCAGTGTGTAACTGAAATGTCAGATGCGGTTGCGAGAGAGAACGGACTGCAAGAGGGACCAAAGTGGCACGGAAATTCCAATGTTGTAAGATCGCACGAATGGCTCTGAGAACAACCGAGATTGTGCGATCGCCAACGGCAGCCCCTGGGCAAAATGGCTGGGACATATGCCCAACATCGTGAAGTTCTTGCGAAATCAGCTCCATGAATAGTCCAGTACGGGCAATACATGCCTGCCTAATCTGTGGCGGTGCCCATACTTGGCAGAGTCGCCGATGGTTTTCTAATTATTCCTGAAATTGTGTTCTGAAGTTTCGTGCGCCTCTATGCAAGGGCCCCACATACCCAGGGTCCAGCTTTGACTGCGACTCATTTTGCCAGCTTTGGCCGTGGTTGGTCAGCCGTCAGATGAATCAGTGCACGGATGACTAACCGGGAGATCGTGACCAGGCTGTGTCACAGCGGTCGCCGTCGCGTGGTACAGAGTCGGCACCGGTTTTCCATCAGGGACGCGGGTCGAGCCTCACCGGGAGCGCGGCCGCCAGACGGCGGCCAGACAGGGCGTCGCGTGCCGCTCTGACCCCGTGTTTGGCATCCGGCCGGAGGCCGGCGGCCCAATGGGCGCGACACGGCCGGTAATGAGCCGCGAAGCGTGGCCGCCGCGGCAGCCCCGCTCGCGGCCCCGGTGCCGTTGTCCAGCCGGGCGAGGGGCGCGGCGGGGGCGGACACACGCCCGGCAGAAGCACGCCAGCAATGTCGGCGCCGGACACCGGTCAAACGGGCGCCGCGGCGCGGACCGGTGCCATTGTGCCGCGGGCGGGGTGTGTCGCGACCCGCGCCTGACACGGCCGAGGTCCGATGCCCCGCCGGTGCGGAGGGTCGCCCCGCCCCGGGGTCACCGGCGGACGTCGACAGGGCGCCGCGCCGCAGCCGGTCCGGCCGTCACCGGCGGAGGTGACGACACGGCAGTTAGCCATTCACGGGATAAACTGCGCGCTGTTGTCGTCCGCTCCGACCCTGACCGCGGCGGACGGCGGGGGCGTCGCAGGCGGCGGCAACTGTCGTCTGTTCTGCTGGGACTTGGCGCGAAAGAATGCGCGGCAAAGTGGGTCTGTGCCGGCCGTGACGGCAGGAGGCGGCGGGCGCCGCGCGCGGTGCTGACCTTGGTCGCAGGTGACGGTGGGACAGCAGTCGCCCGGCGCCTTCTCCGTCGTGCAGCCCTTGCCCAGCGGGCGGACGTACGGGCACACCTTGAGGAAGCACATGAGCATGTTGTCGCGGCAGGTGCAGTTCAGGCACGGCTCGTCCGTCACGATCTGCTCGCCGTTGTCGTAGTGCTGCATCATGTGGAAACAGCCTGCGGCGGCGGGGGAGCGGTGTCAGCTTTCAGTCCGCGTGTCCCCCGATTCGGCACGCCAGCACTGCACCCCGTAGTCAAAAAGTGATGGTGAGCTCGGGGTATTTAGCGACTTGCCGGATTTGGTCATTCGAGCAAGATTTACGTTTCCGCTAAAATGATGTTTGAATGGGAACGTTGAAGGTAAGGCAAACGCGGGGCGTCCCAGCCTTTCCGTTTTGGGATTGACAAACACGGGGTTGTTTTCAGTGGTGCAGAACACTGAAAACAACCTCGTCAGATAATATCGTCGCAAACAGTAACAAAGTCAAACTAGCGCGAAAATGTGTCGCGAACAACAGAAGACTCAAGCCACTAATTAAAAAGTTGAAATCTCATCGTTGTGTTTCGTCCAACGACCTGTGCCTCGGTGCGTATAATTCACCAGTGTAGGGCGAACATTGCACTGGCGATTTGAAGAGATGATAAAACCAGCGAAAGTATACTTGTTAAAATTCAACAAGAAGAATGACGTAAAAATTTTGTGTGTAAAAACGTGGTTAAACCAATTTTTTGAGGAGGAGGGAGGGGGGGGGGGTATTCGCCAATTCGTCCCACCGGGATCCGCCCGTGATGTTGGGTATCCCCCAGCATACAAAATCAATTCGGGACATCAGTCTTACCTGGATTGTCTTCATCCCATTCCAGCGGAGCTGAAAAGATCGGAGGCCATGTAAAGATGCACGTTTTGAACAATTCGTGACAAACGATGACCTCATCAGCATTAATAAACTACAACAGCGCTACGGCACGAGTTCGACATCGGGTCACGGTTCACGGGCATTCCCATAACATAACGCACTAGTCAGCGTTTTCAGGTGGAGGTCGCCCACCAATGCCTTCCTCTTTTCAGATCACGATAATCTTCCCGTGACATGATAGCTCGAAGGCATTAAGGCTGGTTGGTGCGTTACTTCGGCAACTATGATCGCTAAAATGAGTGCGCCTCGAATCGTTCACCGGTGGTGGTGATTCCTGAATCCGCTCATCAGCATCGTGACAGCGATCTGTTATCAGGCGTTGACGCTGATCACACGGCGCGCTCCGGCGATGGACACCTGTCGGCATGTGGCCGCGCCGCAGTCCGCAGCCCCGCGCACGTCCGTATAATGCCTGAGCAGCCCCAGGCAGCCGTATGACGTGCGAGCCCCGGGCGCTGGCATTCTGAATGAGATGTGTCAATGGCCACAGTCGCCGGATCAACGCTCCCAAATCAAGGCCCGTCCTGAGGCCTTAGCGGTGTGAGGTTGCCCAGGAGAACGCCAGGCGTCAGTGCGGGACCGAGCTCGGCCTGTGCGGAGACCGCCGCCCACGCCAGTCGACGTGCCAAGAAGCCAGCGGCCAGCATATATTCAGCGGGCGCCCGCCTCCTTATCAGACGCTCGAAATTCCTGACGCCTAACGTCCGCGCCTGGCCTTGGAGGTTACCTGAGACCTGGCCGCTTTGATGGGGGTCTTTTTCCCCAAATCCGAGGACAACACTTCAAAGCCCGTGGCCGCGCGCCCTGCCGGCGTCTCGGCGGGGTATTTTGTACGGCGATGCGTATCGTGCGTGCTGCTAGGCTTTTTATGTGAGCTGTCGGCGGGCAGACGGAGATCAGACGTTCTAAGCCGGGTTGGGCAGCTCCCCTGATGCGAGGTGTGTGTGTGGGGGGGGGGGAGGGTGGAGATCAGTCAGGGTCACTGCTCTGGCTCGGGGGCTGTCTTCCCAAAAACCGATGGTGCGTGCAGGCGGTGTTTAATTTTAGCCAAGTTAGCATATAGAACTAAAGATTGGAAAGAGGCGGCTTTGAACCTTGTGCTCTGCACCTTTCACCGAGCATAGCACGCCGATCGGTGTGAGCAATTGCGACACGGGGAGCATCAGCGGGCTCGCATGCCGGTGAATGATCTGTCCATCGATCAGTGACCTCTGACCTCGCAGCGTTCCCCGCTCGCGCGCCGATTTCGCTCCATTCTTCGGCGCCTGACCGCGGCTGACCGCCGCACTGCCCGCGGCCGGCCAGTGGCCGCCGGCGCGGCCGTTCCCACGGCTCACGGCCAAGATCACGGCCGCGCTGTCTCGCTCGGTCGCGCCGCCGGCGGCGCGGCTGACCAGTCGGGACAGGTGGCGCTGCCCGGACTGCCCGGGCGGCTACTGTCGGGGCCGGCTGCGCCCGGACGGGCCGGGCGGCTACCGTCGGCACCGACACGCCCGGACCGGCCGAGGCGGTGCGGGCGGCTTCTGTCGGTACCGACGGCGCAGGAGAGTCGTTGAGACGCCGTGCTGGTAACTAAACCACCGCAAGTAGCAAAATAGACGCATTCAGCATTCTAAGTGACTGTACATCGGCTCCCTTCCACGGGTGGAGGGAAGCTGTGTCGTCGCTGTGTGGAGCTCAGCTCATGCTGGACTCCCTAGACAGACCTCGTTCTGCATGTGGTGGTCCACCCGCTGCCAGTGTGCAAGGATCCTTCAACTCGCTCCACTCCGTGCATAGACCACCAGAAACGAAGCGACGACAAATTGCATGTTTTTCTCTCGGCGAGGCTGTTTTCGGGCAACTGCAGCGGCGCAGTGTCAAGGACCGTCATTGAGACGCCGGAGAGCAAAGATCAACGCCCGACAAAGATGGCGACTTGGGTGTCTTCGCCAGCTGTTTGCGGGCGGTTCGAGCAGGACGGCACAAAGGAGCTGCGCGCTGAATATCTCAGAGCAGAGATCAGACTGTGACAAAGGCTCCATTATAACCTTTGTGGTGATGATTGCACGGTGGTGTAGTAACAATGGCAACGTTTACTAATGTTTGTCTTTATACTCGAGTGCGGCACGGCTCAAACCGCCAAGTTTTCAGCTGCATAAGTGCATTCGTAGCTGGAGCAGATCTAGTGCAGATGCTCGCCACTGGACAACGTAAGTGAAAGCAAGTGAGCTGATGATATGCTATCGCTCACAGGTTGTTTTTGGCTGAGTGCGGAGTCACACATTGTGATGGAGTGACGGGCTTTTCGCATCAGAATAACTGAGCGTTTTTCCAGAGGAGTGAACGAGCAGAACAAACCAAAACAGGGACATCCAAGCCATGCCGATTTGATTTAATGCGTGGAATAGAGATCAGCAGCCAGACAATTTGACTGCACTCATTCCAAGCATTCCGTTTATCGCTCTATTCGGTCGGCTGCACCACCACTGAGGCCTTCCAACAGTCACCGTTGATGTCCTGCAGAGGCGACACACTAATCATCTCAGCAGTTGGTTCAAAAACCAGCCGTCGATGTCGACGAACAGCGCAGCCATGATGTCAATGTCTGCAGCAGCCCCTCGGCTTGTAGTGCATGTGGCGCCCTCGGGACGACTCACCTGCGTCAGCGGGTACCAGCGTCGCCAGCAGCCCCAGCAGGGCAGCAGCCTCCGCCAGCGTCCGCTCTCCATCCTGCAACAGAGCGGACGACGTCAGCTCCCGCGCCGCGCCCCCCCCCTGGAGACTGCGGGGCCGCAACAGCACGGCACCACCGGCGACTGGGCCGGCCGGGGAGGCGCTAGCACCGGCGGAGGGGCGGACTCGCGAGGCCGACCGGGCGTGCGGGCCTGAACGCTCGCGGATCGCCCGCTCCGGTCAGGCGCGGCCACTCGTCCGGCCCGGCAGTCGCCTGGCACGCGAGTGGTGACGACCGACCGCGCTGGCCGGCCGGCGGCCTGCCATGAATGTGATCGCGAACGGACGGATGCCTCGCCGAATTCTGCTGGTGTGCGTCTGGTCAGAATGCCCGTGCTGAGTCAGGCGCAGGACATGCCGCGGTGGATTTACAGCTGTGATGGTAACCGTTACCATGGTCTTCTGGCGTGCTTCTGTGGAAATGACGCATCAGAAGGCGCCCTCGCGTGCGGTAGAGGTGGGCTGAAACAGCGCACACGCTCCTCTCCGCTCGGCACGAGTGACTGCGGCTCCTAACTCACACCGGATCCGAGGCGTTCCATCAGCTGGGTTCCAGCCATCACATGCTCACCCTGGGACGTGCCGCAACCAAACTCCACCGGTTGAGTGCACGTGTTCTTGTGTCAGTTTCAAGAGCACACTACTGGTTGGTGTTCATGGACGTCCCGG